ATGCAGTATTAAACTGAGATTGTGTCTTATTTTCAGTCAGTGCATCTCAGAGGACACACAGGTCCAGACACAGGACACACCTGTGTGATGAACTGAATTAAAAATAATGTGTTTTATTCTAGAAATAATCCATATACTTTAAACTGGCTCCTGTTATTATAAATACAACATTTTTGTCAGAAAGATCTCATCAGTCACTAACTAGGCGTCTTTTCCACCCTTTACAGAAACAGACTGGTATCACTTTATTGTGTTTTATGTGACATATTCAGGCAAGTTTCTTCATCATCCAGCTCCATCAAAAAATACTCACTCTATACTTAATATATATTCTATGCTACCTACACGTGTTGATAGCCTTGGCTTATTTTTAATCTTCTCTGTTGTTAGATAACAGGCTTTAATTATCATTTCACTCTGATGGATATGACTTCTTGATGTCCCATTATGAGAACATTCTTGTGGTTAATTACTATCATCGTTTCATCTCCTATAATATAATGTGTTTTCTTCAAGGATCTGATAATGTCACTTCTAATTAACAGCTCCACCTCTTTCACATGAGCTCCTGACTGTATGGGAAACGCCTGAGTTGATTGAACTAGTTGATAATCAGCTTCCAGATACTGGTTATCCAGACGGCCAATGTTAGGATTAGTGCAGCCAGATAACCAAAAGATATCCTTGGTATGTTACCAAGTACACTACAGGCCTCTGATCACACCGTGTTAAAGTGATGTAAACCAACAGTAAACCTGGGTGGAGCTTCTGTTTAATCACCTTCAGGGTCAGTGCACCAACTCCCCGCATTCCTCCTCTTCACCTTTCACTTACCCCCCGTCATATCACATACTTATCAATACAGCGACTTAACCCTCTCTTATGAAACCACACACATATATCACTGCCTGACCAACTGGTGAGACTCATCTGGCCCCTTTCCCCATCAGCATACATTCATCTGAAAACTCACGAAAGATTGATTATCTTCACTGTCCACACCTCTCAGCACACAAAGAGCCACAGCTGCCCCCTTAACAAACAAGTCAGGTGACCTTTACCTGACTGCGTGGGCTCAGAAGACATTCACAACTGAAATGAGTTCAGAGGAGACAGTATTGCAAACCCTCTCAGGTGAAGAGAATATGCAACACCTGCACACATAGTCGTTTTTTTTTTTTCCAATTCAATGAAATGAGAAACATGCAGACCGTCACCTCCCACATGTCGTTTCTCGGTCACCTTTGTTTTGCTCAAAACCTTTCATTCAGTTGTGACTGCCCCCCCAGACAAGTTCAGACCAAACACACGCTGCTCCACACCTGTTAAGAGTCACAATCCAAATCAACTCTGGGCGTTTCTCACACACACACACAGAACAAGTAATACACATTTTACACAATTACTACAATGTAACGTTGAACAGGAATTCACAGTGCAAGCCAAGAAGCTCAAAAGTTGCAACAACGGATAAATGAAAGAATACAAAAACAAGTCAAAATAAAACAAAATGAAAAATATGAAATGCATTAAATAAACACACAATAAATAAATGGTTGGAATAACAGCTAATGAAAAAATACGGGGAAAAAAAGTACTTTTTTTTAAAAGAATCTAAATGAAAATTCCCACCTCTGGGTTGTATTCCTCCACCAACCAGTCAAACAACGGAGTTTACAAGTCTGTCAAGACTCATGTAGCCATAACAGCTGACAATGCCTCGAATATAAATGTTGCTGCAAAGAAGCTACAAATACTAAAATGTGGATGCTTTACACAAATATTCAGCCCAGCAGCACGGAAGATCTTTACAATTCACACAGTTTCAAACTGGGCACCCAAGATTAGTCTCACCAATTCAGTATCTGACCTGTCTGACATTTGATCACCAATTTCTTATCAGTTCATCCTCATGTACAGGTGGGTGTTTGTGCCTAATTTGAGGAAATTCCCTCAAGACCTTCTTGTGATATTGCACATGAGAACAGGATAGGAGGATGTAAAGATGGACAAACAATCGAAACACATAATGTATCCAGTCATGCTGGTGTAGAGGCTTAAATAACTAAAAATGAAACGCCAAAAGTAAAAATGACCAAAAATTATAAGTCTTAGATTTCTACAAATCCTTAGGAAATGGTGAAGATGAAACTACTCTAGTGTGTAAAAAAGTGCACATGTTTATGTTCACTTTTTGTCCAGCTGCCTCCCTCTGTTCTCAACTGACAGTTTTAATAATCATTTAAGTCATTTAAAATAGACAGAAGTAAGTCAGCAAGCAAAAATATAATTTCTTGTGTATTTCCTATGTGAAATTATGAGGACATTTTTTTCATCTGTTTTTGGCTGTCAGTCAAACAAACACAGGCCCACATGGAAGCTATGCCCACAGAATTCTGATGATTTCTCTGCTGATTTTCTTTCTGTCTTTCTACCTTTACTTATTTAAAAATAAAAAAAAAAAATTCTACAGACGTCGGGCGACAATTTAATGAAATAAACAGAATACACAAGTGGTAAAGAAAATAACAAATGCTGGCCCAGTGGATTCTGATTACATATCAAGATGATAAGAGGAAAAAGCAGATATTCCCCCCCCACGCAAATTTTTTTT